TGACACACTACGGTTGCTTTGTCTTGATCACGCGAAAAACCTGTTTCATCACAATGCCAAATATGGGACCTAGAAGTTATACAAGTTTGTTGATATCGTTTGGCGACGCATTCAAAATAACGATAAATTATTTTTGGCGTACAAGAAGCGTCTCTTTTAGATGCTAAGTTTTCCGCTTTTCTTGTTGAAGTTTCTTTTGACTATCTCTTCATAAAGACATAAAGCCAATCTTTACAAAGCTTGCCATTTTTGAATAAGTGCAATTGATCTTCGCGTTTAAGGTAGTCATATAAAAATTCTAGGATTTCATTTTGGGTAAAACCATAATCCCAGTCACTAAGTAATTGGAACGCATGCACCAACAATTTTTCAGTTTCATTTAAGAGTACCTTTGTTGTACCTGAGCCATGAAAACCTTTGTTGTTGTTATTTTTGCAATCTATGAGCGTTGAGATTGGAACCCCATGGTTGAATGCAGCTTTTCTCAGTGATGTTTTATTTTCTTTCATACCAGTTAATGCGGCTAGTATATCGTCTTCCTTGTATGCTTTTGTTTTTTTAGTTGATTGTATTGTAAATAATATCATAATTGGTTTTTAATGAGTAAGAGATGATTATATTACAAATAACATTATAGTTTATTTTTAGATTTTTAGATAGACCGGAATTAACACTAAGTTAATTAAATGAAGATAGGCGCTTAGTCACTTGCGAAAAACTTAACTAAGTAATTAACCGAGTGTGCAGTTTTATCAGAAAAAAGAGTTTTTTATTACTTTTTTGATTTTTGTTCTAGCTGCATAAAAATTATACTATCAGAATTAAAATTAAATTTCCAACAAGATGATGCTAAATTTATTTTTATATCAGTTTCAGTTTAAGTGCTATTTTGTTTGCAACGATAAAAAATATATAAAAAATTTTAACTCCCGTTAAAGTTGTATTAAAAAAGTGTAGTTAAATCATATAATTTTATCAATTCGAATAGAGGAGATAGTTCTGTATTTGAATCTATTTTATTTCAAAGCCATATCCGTTTAGTTTTCACTTGATAATTTCGATCGGTGTGCGGAGTGATATGGTGCGCGGTTCGACCCGGTTTTATTCTATTCTTTCTACTGACAATAAGTTGGTGACAAATAAATGAACTGATGCGCAGTATAATACTAAGCCAAGCATTTAATTTTTTTTATTTGCAAATTAAATAATATCAACCATCAATACTGAGATCAAAAAAAAAAGAAACAGCAGAATTTAAATTACTTTTATAAAGAGCAAGCAAGTCTTGTAAATTTTGCAAAAGGTAAGATTCAACTGATGGAAAGTTACTTCAAAGACAGCAAATATTTGTAAAAAATATATTGAGACAGTTAGGTGGTGGGGATAGTTTTTTTATATTTAATATTTTTGGGTACTTTGGTCATAGTTTAAGTTAAAGAAAATTTGACTCATTCATAGATAGAGCAAGACACCTTAAGCAATAAGCTATGCAGTTACCTCTGTCCTGCTAATTAACCTTACGTAATTTATCTTTAAACTGACTTGCAGGGTCATCTGCCCAAATTTCTAACTCAGCAACTTCTGTTGGCTTCGAATCAGTTTATCAAGAATTACTAATGATGTTTCTTGATCATGAGTTATACAATCACTAACAACTGCATGATATTATTTGCAATGTAATTTAGCAGGTAGTTTTAAAACAACTTTGATGGGCTATTTGGTAACATTAGTTTTACTTTATTTAGAGAACTTAATAGAGAAGAAGGTGTACTAGATGGCTTCATGTGCAAATAATTTCATTAACAAGTTTTATAACATCGGTAAGGAAGGAGGCATGAACTTCCTTTCAAATGCTCTTCCGCAGTGCTCTGTGATAAGACCGTAAGGAAAAATTAATTAACACTAATTCCTCTTACAATTCTACGCTTTTATCAAAATGTAATTTAATTACTATTTATATAAACAACATTATTAATCGAAATTAAAAAAATTTAAGCATATGGTAACCTAATAATAATTTGGTTTTTGTTGGAACTCATTTATATTTTCCATAGAAATAACTCACTTGAGCGTGGAATTGCCCATATAAGGTAAAGCAATTTTTTAGAAAACCAAACTGAAGAGTTTTTTTTTATTTTAGGATAGATTAGTAAAATAAGATATTCTCTTAGTTTGCAAAAGTTGAAATAATGCTAATCCGATGGTAGTTATTTAGATCAACTAATGACTTTTTACACAATTTATCATAAGCAACGTTAACTTCGATTTTGGGATGTCTATCCATGATCAATAGAAAAGTTTAAGAATTTTCTGAGCCATTCTGTTGGTTCTTCACTGCGCGTATTCCTTAAATGTTTTGTTGAGATTACAAAAGTTGTTCAACTTTAGGCAAGTAATAGCCGTTTTTATGTTTTCATCTGATAAAATTACCTTGTCAAACTTGTACAAGGTGGAACTTTATAAATTGTAGAGGTATGTGTGAGGTATAAAATTTCTAGAGGTATGTGTGAGATTGCTTTAGTGCTTAAGTGATTTTCAAAACTTTAAAAAGTTTAAAACTTTAAAGTTTACTTTTAAAACGAAATTCGAAACAAATAGAACTTGAACTGATGCAATGAGATCTTTTATTAGACTTAATGTACTCACGCGTTAAGTAGTGACAAAAGTTTACGTATAAAAAACTTCACATTTTACCATAAAACAATATAACATAAAAAATTGAATATAAAAAAGTATTTAAAAGCAGCTGCTTAAACGTACGTATTTAATATTTCTCGACCACATTTTAAAATTTGTTTCTTAGGCGCATCTGATTTGTAAGCGCCATTCTTTTCATAAAATGAACTTATTTTTGACGTGTACGTTTCAGCAAATCCTACAAAAAGCACAAAAGCTTTTCAAGTAGAATTGATTCATTTATCCAAGAGGAGGCGGGGGGTCATCACTTCGTGACGTAATATTCTAGGGGGAGTCTAAACTTTTGTGACGAATTGTGACGAGGGGGAGGAAGGGGGTCAAAATTTGCAATAAATTGCGTTACGTCGTATATGGACAGTCCCTAAGGGCCTCAAATGCAAATTTTGTAATAATAGGGAGGTCCAAATTTCTATATTTCTTGTTTAACCAGTTATTCTTAATTAATTTTTTGAGAAAAATTCAAAAAACAATTCAGTTTTTGCTATTTTTTTATGGTTAATCTTCTACTTTTATTTTAAAAATTTGAAGGTATAAAAAATAAAAGTCTTTGCAAAAATTTCTTTGCATATTAAATTATGCAACTTTTCTTTCAAATTTATGCTATTCAAATTTTGATTAGATGAATTTAATTTTAAATCGTAGCGTTTTAGAAAAAAAAAGTTTTATCTGAAGTTTCTTTCTAAACAAAACTGAATTAGATAAAGATATGTTAAAATGAAAAAAAGATCGAAGAATGAGGTTCTTTATTTTAGGGATACAAGTAGGTCATTATCACGGAGGTCTACTCTGTTTGAATACATGATTATTGATAAAAAAATACAAACTTACATCTTATGTCTACCAAAGAACACGCTCATAACCTAAATGTTCTACATGGAAAGTTGCCGCAGCAATCCTTTATCACATATGATGACTTTTATAGTTATTTTTCATTTTCAATGGGAAAAATAGCAAACTGGATGAATTATTTTCATATATAATGTTTATTCTTTTTTTGTTATTTATAAATACCTATAATTATAATGTATATTATTGATAAATTAAACAGAAAAAGATTTCTACTTTTCTTATATTTAATGATAATAATAATTTCATCTCTTTTGAACAATGCCTTTTTTTGGCTTTTATTAAAATCAAAGTAGAAGGCTAAATAATCAAAATGAAAAAAAATGATTATGATTTTCAGAACCAGCATGAAAAACTAATTAAGAAAAATTGGTTAGACAAGAAAATATCTAAAAAAAGATGATTATGGACCACCCCCACCCCCACCCACCCCTAGCAAGAACAGTTTAAATAATGATAAGTTCTTCATCAAAAATGTTATTCGTAAACATTTAAAACTAGTATTTAAGTGATCATTATATAATTGTAAAAAATCAGTGTTACTCTAGTGTTAGTTTGGAATGCTGCAATTGTCTGTTATTTTATGTTCAAACAAAGAGTTATTTTTATGCAGAAATACTATAAATTTAATTTTATTCGCTTTAATCTTTGCCTTATTAATTAGTTATGACCTAGTAACGAGTTGTAACTTTAAGAATTTCTTTTTTAATTGCAGTCTATCTTCAATAATCTGCAGTTTCAATGTACGTTACAGACCTACTAAGTAGAACTACTAAGTAGTTGTTATTTTGATTAGTTATGATCTAGTAAATAGTTATAATTTTAAGAATTTTTTTTTAATCGCAGTTTTAAGTCTCTCCTATATTTTGCAGTTTCGATAATTTTTAGGAAAATTTCAAATATATTTTTTTATTCTTGAAAAAAAAAATATATCAATAAAATCTGCTTCTTAATAATAACTATATGAAACTTTGTTTCATATAATTATTATAAATAATAATTATATGAAACTTTGTTTAACTAAATATGAATATTTAGTTAAACAAAGTTTCAGAAAACTGTAGAAAAATTTGAACAATTCAAAAAAGCTGTTTAATAACTAAAAATTTATATTACATTTTTTTTATAAACAATACCATTAATAATTATTATCCTTCTTTACTGTATTTTGTTATTAATGGAATTTCGTTTTTTTTGTTTAACGATTATAACCTTAAATAATTATTTAAATGTAATGCGCACTTGATTCTATTTATAGGTAGGCAATTACCTTATAATAATTTAGAATCAGTTTCTTTATAAATAGACATCTTCCCTATTTTAGTCAGATTCTTTTCGAATTAATGTATTTTTTAATAACGACAGAAATCGAAATCGAAATCGCAGATCACTTTGAATAAATACTTAATAAGTTCTTATGTTGCAGGATTAAAAATTTTGATAAAATTATGGAAATCATTCAAATTGCATTCGTCTATTTGAACTGCACATATTTTAACAATGCAAATCAAAAAAAGTTAATACTAAAATGACCAAAAATTCAAATGAGACTTATTCGGTAACTGAAAATGAAAACAATAAAGAGTTACTAGATAACCTTCGTGTTGAGATTACGACGAATTTAGATATTCACAGACAATTTATTTTTAGGTAATGTTTTGATTTGAAATTTTAATTTAAAGTTTTTGAATTTAATAAAGCAAAACTAATACTTATTTGTTTATTTAGAAATTGTCAATTTAGAATTTTAAAAATGAGAAGTTCTTAATTTAATTAAAATTAGTTTAGAAGTTTAAATAAAGAAAAACTTTTTGCCTGAATTTATTTACGATAATAATAGCTTTTACAGTAAAAACGGTAAGAACGGTAAATGTACGAAAAAAATCGATGTATATACTATAACTTACACTGTCTTACACTATTAGCGTTTTTGCTTTTTACCGTTTTCAAGCTTATTTTAGGTGGAAAGTTCAACCCTAAAAAACACAATACTGTAACACAATGTAAGTTACAATATAATGCGTCGATTTTTTTCGTGCATTTACCGTTTTTACCAAAAAAGCTCAACTCTCGATAATAATTCGTTTAATAATGTTTTTGCTAGAAATAATTTATAGTTTTTTAACTTATTTAGAACTCTAAAAAATATTTTCTTGTTATTAATGTTTTTTTGTCGTCTTTTGTTAATTAGGTATCGCTTTTTTTTAATAGTTTTTAATATTCCCATTTGTGGCTGAAAAAGCAAACAGAATAAAATTAGTTAAAAACTCAAACAGAAAAATTTAACATAAAAATAACATTAAAAAACAAATACAGTAAAAACTTTTTACTTGAACTTTTTATTTGGATAAATTTAGATTCAGATTTTCAAGCTTACAGGTTGGTCCTATAAAATTACGTGGGAAATATAAGTCAAGGAATGGTATGATGAGCAAACTTTAATTCGGTTTGAACGGAAGATTTAATTTTTCAAAAAGAACGTCATTATTAGCAACTACGGACCGAAAGCAAATGTTTTAGAAGAGTGAATATGTAAAGTATGAAAGAAGCTCAAAAGACAGACTAGCAGTAACTCAAAAGTACTATAAAGAATCCATTATTAGCTGCGCCGCTCCGTATTATCAAATTAATGTAATTAAATTAATAGATTAATGTAATTTAATTAAAAAATTAATGTAAATTAATTAAAAAACTAAAATAGAGATAAGGTAACACGGTACTTTGACATGTGGGTTAATTACCCACACGTTACGTAACACTAACATGTTTTAGATTAAACAAACTTTACCCGTCACCTGTTAACTATAATTTAAATTATTTTAACAGATGTTGTAACCAGATGCTGTAGCCAGATGTTGAATGAACAAATTACTACTGTTATCCGCATATTACTAAGCATAAATAATAACACAGTAGGACATAAATTACATAAATTTCCAGTCTTTTTGTTGTAGAAAAAAATAAGTTAAACCATACTAAATATCTCTTCACATGTGCTTTTATGACATTATTTCTAAATACTAAGCATTTCAGATTATTTTTTAACAATTTTTTAAATATTTTTTAAATATTTCAGTTTTGAGGTAACATTGACAGGTATGCTCAAGTTATCCATTGGCTAAGAATCAATCTAAAGTTGGCGTAAAGTCTTACATCAGATGAATTTTTCACGATTACATGAACGATTATACGACTACATGAACGTTTACACGATTACATGAAATTCAAACAAAGCAAACCTAACAGAGTTAACTTTAAAAAAGCCACCTTAAAACCAACACTTGCAGAAAGTTAAAATCCACAACTAATGATGTTGCATAATACTGATAAAAGCAAAACATCAGAACCTGAAGATGTAAAAAATCTCTTTGTTTCAGAAATTAAAACAAAAACCAAAAAGTCTGTTAAAAAGAAATCAAACAAACAATCACAACACTGGAAGGTTTCGTCGGGTATTGAGTCATTAATGTGTTGTAGAGTTTAATAGTTTAACAATTCTTAAAAATCAATGCAAAAAAAAAAATTCAATCATCAATTAATAAAATTAATATTGAAACTAATGAAATTAATGCATAAACGTTAATTAATAATAAAATTAATGAAATCATAAAAAATTTTAATCATAAATTAACATAAACTTAAAATTTAACTTTTTATCAGTTTACATCGTCAATATTGTTAATAAACAGTTAAAAATATTTCTTATCAAGATAATTTTGTCAAATAAAAAGAAAAAATATGTTTTCTAAAGATGTATCAATGTTACACTAATTTACTTTACTCAACAAGATTTAGAGAACAACTTCGTTATTTAAAAATATAATTGAGCTAATACTCATTTATGTGATTGGCCTTATTTATTGAAAATATTTTAAGATATTGTTGATAAAAAGAAAACCATTGTAAATCAATTTAATAACATTTCTTTTTTCTTATGGATTATACAATTTTAATTTTAAATCTTTTTTTAAATAAATTTTTTAAATAAAAAGCTTTGCTTAGAGCGTTTGCTTCAAAACCGAAAGGCTTAATGTTACTTTAGACAAAATGAGTAGTTTTAGTTTTTCAGGTTAGCATTACCTCATGTACCATATTTCACAGCTGATTCATACTTGAGATTTACAAACATTATTCTGACGTAATAGAGTTGGATGAAAGTTTAAAAGTTTTTTTTGCTTTAGTTTTTACTTAAGACATTTTTTTTTTTAAAACATTTTTGCTTTCAACGAGGCTGCAAGCAATCACTAATTAGTGTTGGAAGTTACTGGAAGAGAAAAGATGAAGATTGTAGAGGAAGATAACGATTGACAGAAGACTTAAAAGACTGCAAATTATATGAATCAGGAAAGCAAGATGAAGGAAGCGAATTCCAAAGAACAGATGCACGAGGAAAAAAAACTAGATAAATAAGAGTTTTTGGATCACTTAGGAACAGTAACAGAAAAAGGATGAGACTTAATTGAATGACGAGTAACACAATAATGAATTTTAGTAGATGGCACAAGAGACGCTAGGTCTTTAGAGCAGTGCCCATTATAGTATTTGTAGAAAAGAGAAAGAGAAGCAACACTATGACGATGTGACAAAGGTTGAAGGTTGGCTGCAAGAGCTGGTCCAATTATGTTTACAATGCGTTTTCGCACCTTGTCTAAAAGAGAAAGTGTCAAGCTCGATAAAAAGATGCAACTTTAGCAGATGCTAATTTTGCAACGGATTTGATATAAGGTTTCCATGAAAAATTAAAAGTAAGAGTTAATCCTAGAAGATGAAGGGTAGATGACTCATCGAGTACATTACCGTTCATAAATGTAGCAAGATATAAATTTTTGCGGTAATGATTGGCTGAAAAAATTGAGTTTTATCTGACTTGAAGTTCACCAGCCACTGTGAGACCCATGCTGTAGCAGAAGTGAGATCCTTTTCAAGCTCAAATGCCCCCTGCAAGCAATCAGAGGGAGTTGGCTTCTTATCGTAACAAGAATAAATGGTAGTATCATCAGCGAACAATGCCACCTTAGATGCGAGAATATCTAGAAGATTGTTAACGTAAATTAAAAAAAGTATAGGGCCAAGTATTGAACTTTGAGGAACCACTCAGGTTACAGAATAAGAAGAAGAGTGCTGTCTATTCAGGACAACTTTTATACTACGATTGGAAAGGAAGGATTCAATAATCTTAAAGAATTTTCCAGATACACCATAAGAAGAAAGCTTATGGAGAAGACCAGCATGCCAAACTTTATCAAACGCTTTAGAAATGTCAAGAGCGATGGCCTTAACCTCTCCACCTTTATCTAATGCGCGATAAAACCTATCGGTTATTACTGTTAGCAAATCAGCCGTAGAACGAGAAGATCGAAATCCATATTGATGATCAGAAAGTAGGTTATGAGATTCGAGATGAGAGATTAAGTGTTTGTTAATTAAAGATTCAAAAACCTTGCTTATGATAGGAAGAAGACTAATGGGACGGTAGTTAGACAAATCGGATCGCTCTCCAGAATTTTTAAAAATAGGAATAACAGATGCTGCTTTCCAGCAGGCTGGAAAACAAAACTCTGATAAGCAATTGTTAAATAGTTTTGAAAGGATAGACGACAGCTCCGGAGAACACTTCTGCAAGACTATAACAGGCATGTTGTCCGAAGAGTCTAATCAGGAAATCACTTTAGATACAAAAGCTGGAGTGATAATGATGTCGAGCAGTGGATCAACCTGTTTGACGGCTATATCAGGTAGAACGCAACTAGTGGAATCCAGAGATGATATTGATGAAAAGTTCTTGGCAAACAATTCAGCTTTGTCTTTAGGTGAGGTGACAAAGTCTGAAACATACAAAAGAGGTGAAATTACAGACTTGCCCTTATTATTGATACTATTAAAGATTCTCCAGAAGTCACGAGAGCCTATTTTTTGAGATGAAATACGAGATTTCATGATCTGAGAATGGCGGGCTTTGGCGTTAGACAAAACCTTTTTACAGTGGTTCCTAGCAGTAATAAACAGACGTTTGTTTTTTGGAAAATTGTTTTGCTGATAGATATGAAAGTAATGGTTTCGATTGGCAATTGCAGCAGCACAATCTAATGAAAACCATAGAGAAGAGTGAAACTTGACCTGGAATCATCGAGAAGGAATAAAGGATTCCTTACCAGCCTGAATACACAAAGTTATGTAAGAAGCACATTTGTCAACAGAAAGACAAAAGATTTCTACCCAAGGGCCATCACGAAGAAAACCACAGAAAGAGTCCCAGTCAGCTTAAAGGTAGTTGTAAGGTGTGCGATGATAGGGTGAGTCTGATGATGAAGAAGAATGAGATAATAGTTTTAGAGAGATTAAGCGGTGATCAGAGACACCAAAAGGTAAATATGAAGAAACTGAGCACTGACTAGTATTAGAAACAAGACATAAGTCGAGTAGAGAAGGTAAATGATTCGGGTTGTCTGTAAAACGAGTTAGAAAGTTGACTATTTGAGTTAGGGATTGAGAAAGGCAAAAGTTGTAGGCTTTAATGCAACAACAACAATATTGGCTGATGGATAAAGAGAGAGGGCAATATGATCAGAAATAAAATCAAGAAGAGTGCAGTCTTGAGATGAAGGAGAGCAATATAGAACAAAGAGAAAGGTGATAGAGTGAAGTGGTGC